TGTGGTCTCCTCCGGGGCAGGCGGGAATCGAACTCATGCGGAAGTGGCTTTAGCTTCTCAGTGCAGTGCTTTAACCTGCTGCGCCACCAGGGAGGGCCAATTCTTTATGTCTTTTAACCAAAGTTTGTAGACAGTTCGGGATTTATTTTCTAATAAAATATAGTAACTGTGAAAAGAAAATAGTAATAGAATCTTAGTGTGTGCACATTTTATGGACATAGAAAGTTCTATGTGATAAGCGTTTTCATGTGGTAGATACAGATATTTGCAAGGGCGGAACAATAGTAATTATTTTTAAACTTGTTAATAAAACTAACCCATAGAAAAATCTGCCAATAACTACTAAGCATTTCACATTTTATTCATGTAACCTTCTCAACAAATAAGTGTAAGTTCTTGTCAGACAGTCTGACTTCATACTTTGTCCTCTCAACATTATTTCTTTTGTCCTAAGTAGTCTCTGGAAGTTGATACCTGGCTGAAGTTTTTGAATAAATATTCATTACTGTATCATTTAGCCCTGATGCACCAAAAGGGATTAGTTTCTCCTTCTGTGTTATTCTCTGAATTATTAACCAAGTAGTAGATTCCAAAGGAAATTGCAGTGTTCCTGTGATCTGTTCTCCTAGAACCTCTGTTGCCTGCTACTTGAGGGTGTTCTTCTTTCTAATCTTTTTTTTAAAGATTTACTTATCTATGTATACAAGCTGGGGTGTAGGCCAGAATTTTAGGAAGTGAAAGAATTCACCAGAGACGGTGGGGAGCAGAACAGGCAGATCTGCTGAGATGCACTGCTGAGGGGAGCAGTGGGAGAGACAGGAGAGGTCTGCTGTGCCATGTGAGTCAGATTCTCTGGCAGGGATCAAACTCTTGTGCCACAATGACAGCGGATTGCTTCATAGAGCTGCGACTTAACCCCATTCGCCACCAGGGATACCCCCCAAGGGCATTCTTATTTCCAGGACTCACCAACCAGCTTGTACAGTTGTTTCCAAATCAGCCTCTGGGTTAACAGTGTATGCTAAGAAATTCTTTCTCCCTTTTTTGCTAACAGGTACCATTTATTCCTTCTAAGTCTTTTGAATCTCTGCTGTTTTCCAAACCAGCTGCTGTTGTGATGACATATCTAAGTCACCTAAGTATTCAATCTGGATTTATTAATATTCAGTTTTCTCTCCTATCTAAAGTTTAGTTCTTCCTCTACAGTTGTTTTTACAAAACATGACATCTTTACAGTTGAGTTAGCTTGGTTTTCTCTTGTCCCTCTGTAAGTGTGCCCAAAGGATTGGCTTTTCCCTTTTTTTTTTTTTTTTTTAAGATTTATTTATTTATGCTACAGAACTTGGGTACAGGCCAGAGGTGTGGTGGGTGAGAGGATTCACCAGAGACAGAGTCGGGAGCAGAACAGGCAGATTGACAAAATATACTGCTGAGGGGAGCAGCGGGTAGGTCAGGAGGGGTCTGCCACACACTGGCCGGGGATCGAACTCGTGCTGCAGTGGCTTCTGAGAGCTTCATAATGCGGTGCTTTAACCTGTTGTGCCACCAGAGAAACCCCAACTTTTCCCTTTTTATTTTCACTGTGACTACCCCAGATAACCACTTTTTCCTATGCCTAACTACTGCTAACCTTAATTTTTCTAATTTGTCCACTTTTGGTTCACACTCTTTGTTTTCTGCCTCTTTCATATTTTAAAATGATTCAGAAGAGCTCAGTGAAGATATGCTGACTTTACATTCATTGCTTATTTATCACAGAAATTCTGTGGTTCTGTTCTAAGACATGTTTATCATGAAGCCATACCATCATGAAGCCATACCATTTTATCATGAAGCCATACCTGTTTTCCCTTACCTTCCGTTTGTATCACTGCTTTCCTCAGCGCTAGAAACCTGTTGAGCTGCATTCGTTGTGTCCTCTTTTGTGGTGCTTCTCATTCCACTAGGTTATTTAGAAGTGATTCAAAGTTTGCATGGCTTCTACATCCAACCCGTTTTACCCTTGTTGATAAGAATTTGGAAGAATTAGCACCTGTATAAATGATGATTTTTAATCTTTCTCTTTCCAAAGGTGATCTTTTTAATTGGTGAATGATTTCCACATGAGTTGCATTTTGTTACCTCTGCATTTCAACTTGGGGATCTGTCTCTACCAGAGGCTAATACAAAAGAACAGCAGTTTCCTTAAACATCTAAACCACTCTTTAAAAATGCACATGTAAAATGCAACTCAAATTTACCTTCTTTGTGGAGAGAAGAAAGTGTTTCAATATTTTATGGTTAGTGAGAAATGCTCAGTTTTATTCGATAGCACCTTGCAAAATCATATAGTGCCAAATTGTTCAGCTTGACACAGGCATTCTTAAACCCTCACTTTTTTTGTTCCCCATATATACTTCTTCTGTCATTCTTTATTTCTGTGCAGTATTTGATTTCTCCCCTCAGGTGTAGTCCCTGCAGTTGTTCCACCACCACAGCATTCATGAGCCATCACCATAGTCCTTGGTGCTCTTCCTTCGCATGTTTTGGCCCTTCTTCCTCCCTTCCATCCCCACCGCATATTCTTCAGATCTGTGGTCAGCTTAAAAGTTTTGTCTTTTTCCTGTTTCTTTGCTTGATGTCCCTATAAGTGTAGCCATCTGATATTTTTCTTTCTCTTTTAGATTTTGCTTAGCATAATCCTTTAAAGCTCCATCCATGTTCCTGCAAATGGCATGCATTTATCTCTTTTTGATCATTGAGTAGTATTCCATTGTGTACATACCACATCTTGATCCACACATTTGTGTGAGGACATATATTGGCTATTGTAAATAATGCTGTGGTAAACACCGGAGTGCATCTTTCCTTTTGAATTAGTGTTTTTCTGTCCTTTGGGTAGATTCCTTGGAATGGAATCACCATTTTTGAGGACCCTCCACACAACTTTCCATCGTGGCATGACCAGTTTGCATCCCCACCAGCAATGTAAGAGTAAACACACACATTCTTAAGAGGTGTTAACTTGTACAAAGTTCAAATAACAAAAAGATATATAAAGTGAAGGTCCACAGCTCCTTCAGTCCCAGAGGCTCCACGGTTGGTTGGTTGTGTCCTTGCACTGAAAGGCTTACTTTGTTTCCTTTCTGTATTCACCTTTTCCAGTCCCCTTTATAATTTTGTCAGCAGTTCATATTATTTATTCTCTAGAGGGACAAGTATAGTTACAGTCTTCTGAATGTTTGCGGTTCGTTACTTCATCAGGAACAAGTAAGTAGAGATGCTGGAGAACTCAGCACAACCGAATTAGAAGACTCCAGCTGCAGTGAGGCTGAACTCCCACACGGTGACTCTGAGCAGCTCCAAGGCGGGGACTCTGTCTCATTGACAGAAGTTGGCACTGGAGACGAGGACGACAGTGAGTATGAGGACTGTCAGGAGGAAGAGGAGGAAGATTGGCAGACATGTTCAGAAGAGGACAGCAACCCTGATGGAGAGACCTGTAGCCAGGACTGTGCAGAAAACTGCACTGTGGCTTCGGAGGGTCAGAGCAGGGAAATCCCGCAGAAGAGAAAGACACACAATTTCAGCCACCTGGTATCAAAGCAGGAATTATTGGAGATCTTCAAAGAGCTGCACACTGGAAAGAAGGCAAGAGATGGGCAGCTTACTGTCGGACTGGTAAGATGAAATATGTCCTAAAAGTGTCTGCACTTCCGGATCTTTATTTCCCATCCATTGTTACCTGCACTGGGACCCAGAGGCCAATCAGGTGTCTGGCATCATAAGGAACACTATCACATCTTGTCGCCACTTGGTACCTAGAAGTAGGCAGTGTGACAGGCAAAGTACAACTTGAAAGAGTGAATTTTCTCAAGACTTGATACAGGTCCAAACAGTGCAGTAGCCCAAGGCAGCAGCAGCCGCAGCCCACTCAGAGAGCCGTGAGTGTTAGGAGAGGAGCCACTTCAACACCCCGGAGTAGGTCATTGTAGGGCAGTCTGTAGTGAGGGGTGGCAGCATCTACAGTTCTCTCCTCCCCAGCGGTATGTAGACCAATAGCAATGTATCATACAATCAAGGTACATACATGAGTCCTTACAATGGTAATGAGCAGTTGTCTGAAATTTATGTAAGAAGTTACACTTTGAAGTGCAGTCATGCATCACTCAACAATCGAAATACCTTCTGAGAAGTCTGTTATTATGTGATTTCATTATTGTGAAGACACCGCAGCGTATAATTAACAGACCTCGGTGGTACGGCCTGCTGCACACGTGGGCATGTGGTGGAGCTGTTGGGACCATCCTGTAATTGGTCCCTTATTGAACACCATTGACACGTGACTGTAGGTGAGGTCTTGACAGGTGACAAGGGAAGGGCATTCTAGACTAACAAGTTAATGTTTGAACAAAGCCTTGAGGATGATAAAGTGATGGAGATGGCTGAAGTTTGAAGAGTGGTAGAATTAAAATCAGAATGGTGAAAGTCAGTTGTGATGCTTACAACTGCGATGGGAAGTTTGGGATTTTATATTCATGTTGATGGAGGATTCTTCTAACCACGTAAGAGAAGAAGTTGGATGTGGAGTCATGGGGGGAAAACCTGAGAAAAAGCAGTGGAACAAGGGTGGTGTGATGTGAGCAAAAAGTTTGCTTGCCATTTTATTTGAGAACATCATCTGCTCTTTATATACTGTTCTAAGGCAACATGAAATTTTAGATTTATTGATAGTGAGGGGAGGGTAGACAGAAGAGAGAGTGGATATTGGCTCACCATGAACCCAAGCGTAATTGAAGAGGTTTAGTAGCTTGTTAACCCAGATCAAGGGATTGTGCCATTTTAAATTTTTAGCTAGCAAGACAGAAACTTGCTAATGCTAGTATAATTAAAAATAACTTTGGTGGGATTAAAATATCTGTGATACTCAGCTTGACCCATAGTGTGGGAGCTAGGGTGGAAACAGTGAAATGCCTGTAGACAGGGCAGTAGGTAGCATCTACTGTTACAGCAAAACCTGTGAAAAGAAAATGTGCTTGGCTTGACTTTCATCATCAGAGAAATATAAATACACCTATAGCAGAGAGGGAGGAAGCATCTTGACGGTAAACAGCATCTACTTCACATATTCTTCTGCAGCAACTACATACACTTATGCAAGTGTTACCACTATGTATGGAATACCTTTGGGTCTTCGATAGCTGTCATGTTTGACTGTTAACTTCTGGGTCTCTTCTAGGTGGGTTACCCAAATGTCGGTAAGAGTTCAACAATCAACACTATCATGGGCAACAAGAAAGTATCTGTGTCTGCCACACCTGGTCACACCAAACATTTTCAGGTATTTCTATAGCTCTGGCCTCTATATCCCCTCCTCAGCCCCTTTGAGTATTTTATGAAGCCCTATGCTCCATGTGCCCTCCATCAACCTCTTGGCTTGTCTTTCAGACTCTCTATGTGGAACCTGGCCTCTGCTTATGTGACTGCCCCGGCCTGGTGATGCCATCCTTTGTCTCTACCAAGGCAGAGATGACTTGCAATGGAATCCTCCCAATTGACCAGATGAGAGATCATGTACCACCTATATCATTAATATCCTTTCTGCTTTGCAAAGATTCTGGTTTGTTTTAGACTTTGCCTTGCGTTTATGTATTAAAGGCTGATTACAAGTCTCAAATGCTAGTCATCTATCCAGATGTACACACAGTGGCATCAGGACTTCTGTCCTAAGTGCAACAGTGTAGTCTGATAGAATGCAATAGCTCGGTGTAGAACTCAACACCCACCCACCGACACCCCCCTTTGTAAACCTGTTTGCTTCCGTAGTCTCACTTTGCTCTTTGAGTGACCTTGAGAAACTTGCTTTAACCTAGAAGCTTTCCTGTTCTATAAAACAGGGTTAATAATAGCTACTTCACAGTTGATTGTGAGAATTAAATCTTAAGCTATTATTTATTGGACACTTGCTGTGTACTTTGCTAAACCACTTAACCATGTAATATCTAATTCCTGAAACAACCCTTGAGGTAGATACCACTATTATTCTCATTTCCTCAAACTTGAGGAAACTGAGGCAGAGAGATGTTAAATAATTGACCTAAGACCCCATCGTAAGTCAGCAGAGAGGAATTCTGCCTCTTAGCAGCATACCGAGCCAAAGTACATGAAACCTATAGGACTGGCATGAAAAACTACTCAGTGATCTGTTAAGAGCTGTGCAGAGTAGGATTTTAATCTACTTAACTAACAAGTTAGTCTGTTACTATTTAGTGGGTACAGGCAGATGCCAAAAACTCCATGAAAGTGGTACACTGATCGGTTTATAAAAAGAGGAAAATTCCTAGCCCTGCATCATTCTTGGCAAAATCCTTAAAGACTACACTTAAGGCCACAGTTTTTGGTTTACCCCAATATATATATATTTCCTCTTATGAGGAATAATGAGTAAGAATTTATTTATCAGGATAAATAAATATGATTAGAGTGCTAATATAAAATACTACTCAGTATTAAAAAGAGTTCGTGAATCCACCTGTAGCAATCTAGGTAAACCTCAGAACAACATATATACAGGATGACACATTTTTGAAAATATTTCATCACCCAAAACAATGCTTTATATTAATAGGGACATATGAATGTAAAAGAATGCAGAATGGTCTGAAGGTGCCCTACAATCTGCTCACCTGCGCTGGTAGGTTGGAGCTGGTATAATAGAAAAGGTTGAATTTTTACCTCAGTTCTTAATAGGTAATATAATCGTTGGAGACATGGGTGTTATGTATGTTTTACTTTACCTATAAATTAATGATTAGATGTGTGCTATACAGTCACTTGGATTGAGTTCTGTGGGATATAAATATGAAACAAGACCTGGATCCTGCCTTTTCTCAATTCATTCTGGACATTCAGGACATGGCCATGAAAAAGTGGTACAAGATAGAAGGTGTTAGGTGGCTTAAGAAATACCTGTGAGTGATTAGACAAGGAGGGAAAAATGATCCCACCTTGCATGCCTGTATGGTCTAGGAAAAAGATTGAGTTTCACCTCTGACTTGCTGAAATTTTTTTTTTTTTTAAGATTTATTTATTTATACAGAACGAGGTACAGGCCAGAGATGCGGAGGGTGAGAGGATTCACCAGAGACAGAGTGGGGAGCAGAACAGGCAGATCGAACAAGTACACTGCTGAGGGGAGCAGCGGGCGGGCCAGGGGAGGTCTGCCATGCCATGTGGATCTCCTCCAGGGCTGGCAGGGATCGAACTCATGCGGAAGTGGCCTTAAACTTCTTAGTGCAGTGCTTTAACCCGCTGCGCCACCAGGGAGGGCCCTGACTTACTGAAATTTTAAAAGTGCTTTTCAAGGCAAAATGTATCATTAAGACCTATTTCAAAGGTAATGTTTTAATATTAAAATGATTTCATTTATTTAAAAGAGAAAATTATTTTATTTAAAAGAGAAAAAATTTATATATGTATTTCTGAGAGGACAGAGAAGGTATTGTCATAGATGTGCTGAGGTACCATGTTCTTAAAAGCATGTGTCAGATGTCATGGGAGTACAGGCTCAACTTACAGTAATGAATTCCTTGACTAGCTTATGTTTGCCAGAATATTCCGAGACATGTTTTAGAGGCGACCTATGGCATTAGTATCATAAAGCCTAGAGAGGATGATGATCCCCATCGACCTCCAACATCAGAAGAACTGTTAACAGCTTATGGATGTAAGTTGTGATTTATTTTAAAACATAAACAAAAAAATAATAATATAGTTAATGAGAAGATTATTCGTGCAAAGATAAAATTTATAATTTTTCATTGGTATTTTCCGTGTCATCTTTCAGGGTTGGTGTTTTTATTGCCTCTGTTGGCTTTATCTACACTGTGGCCTCTGGGTAACTGAATTGGTGGTGATTTGAGAGTACAACAGTAAGGGGGGGGGGCTGACTACTACTGGAGTGGTATTTTACACATGTTCAGTGTTTTTAGAGTTAGAGACGATGGTGATTTGTACCCTTTGGTTCTGCTTCAGGTCTGCCCTTTCCTAGTCTTCATCAGAGCAGGCAAGGGTTAGTTAGGAGGGGAGCGTCAGATGGGAAAACCCTCAGATGGTGATAGTAGAACTTGGTAAAGATAAAGAACATAAAATATCCTTCTCAACCTCGTGTGACATGAAAGTGAGTCTGCAATCTTCCACTTGAGTTTACCTCAGTTCTACTTTGTCTTTTGTATCTCCAGTCTGCTGTGATTTTATTTGCTTTCAAGCAAACTTAAAAGGTGGTCTGGAGGAACTGTTTGTTGCCGAGACATTGCTGAGTAATTTATTTCTTTTGTGTTTCTTTAAATAGTAGTGAAATTGAGCATCTATTTATTGGCTGTTAATATTTCTTCTGGGAATCAACCTTATGTGCATTACTTTTGTCTTGATGACTTGTAGTAGCCCTGCATTGCATGTGCCACAAATACTGTTCCCAGTGTTTGTGTATAATTTCTTTAGCCCTAGAGGTTAAAAATTTTAAGACCTTCCCCGCCCCCCTGCCTTTTTTTTTTAAAAACTTGATTGGATTTGGCATTTTCCTTAGGAATGCCTTCCCTATCCCAAAAGACAAAACTATTTCCTATAACACTTTTTTTTTTAACCTTTAGATTTTTGATCTGCTTAAATATATTTATGTGTATGATGTGCACTAAGGTCCTAACTATTTTCTTTTAAACTGAAGGCATCACCTCACAGATAGTACATGAAAGAGCAGACTTTTGAACCCAGACTTCTGGCCAGAGCCCACATTTTTTAACCACTGTTTCCTGCTGTTTCTTTCTCAAGTGAGTTAGTGGTAAAAGGATCTGTGTTATATGCTAGGGAAACTAGAAAAGATATAACAATATCAGGCCTCCCCTGGTGGCACAACGGATTAGGATGGTTGTTAGGGTACTAGGTACAATATAGTCTCTTCTTCTGGATTATAAATGTCCTTATAATGTTAACCAAAATATCTTCAATAATAGCAAGTGATTTTTTTGTTGTTGAAGATAGGAATGAAGATACCTAATCAGTGTTTTTGCAAAATATTTTCTTCCCACAGGTATGCGAGGATTCATGACCACACACGGGCAGCCAGACCAGCCTCGATCTGCACGCTATATCCTGAAGGACTACGTCACGGTCAGTGAGTGCCACTCCCTGTTCTTGAATTGGTAGGGCTTTCTCCATGCAGTGCGTTCTTAGGTCATGGTAGCCTGCTAAGCTATAAAGGAGGAATTTTCTCTTTGAGATTGGGTTATAACTAGAGTTAAGATTCTTTCTCCAGAGAAGTTAACCTCGTATAAATCATAGAAATTACTGACAGTGAAAAAGCAGAGATGAAGATCTCTGAATACCTGTTACCAGGAGAGTAATAAATGTGTGCCTCCTGTTTTCCATTGCCTGGATCCCTTTGCTTGTTTCTGTTACAACTGTTGCAGTTTTATATACCTGTTTATATTTTCTGTCTCCCTATACTAACCTAGCAACAACAATAATAGCAACATATATTCAAAGCTAGCACTGCTAGAAATAGTTCTAAATGTTTTGTTTGTATTATCTCATTAAAAATACACACGTCTATGATGGTGTTATTCTTAATATAGTACAGATGAGAATGTGCTAAGTTTGGGGGTTTTCTTATCACTAAAATAGGAAGTATAGTACCTCCTATAAAATTATTATGGGAAATAAATACGAACAGCTTATGTGGAGATAATGTGTACACACACATCACTAAACTCAATACCTGGCATTTTTTATGTATTAAGTTTAGTTCTTTCAACAAACAAATACAGGATCCTAGTAATAACTGGTTGTGAGTATTTGGCTTTCTTCCCTTTTCAGTAACACATCAGTGGAGTACTTGGAATATAAAAATAAAAATGAGCTGCTGTATTCTCTTGCCTTAAGGTCAAAAAGAAAGTATTTAATAGAACATTTGAATGGATAAGTTATGTGTTCTCTTATCGTTTGCAAAAATGAGTTAGAGCAATTACAGTTTTCAACTGGTGGAAAAGAGGGAAATTTGCATCCAGAGGACAATTGGAACGACTCTGATATCCCCATTAGTCCAATTGTGTCCTGGTTTTTATTTTGCAAAATATTTTATCTTAAGTATAATCATGTAAGTATAGTGAAAAATACCTTAGAAATGCAAAGTAAAAAGCACCAAGAAGAAAGAGATTTCATTCTAGTCAGAAAGGCTCTTGGAGGGGATAGAGATCTCTAGAATACTCTGTCATCCTCAGTGTAATAAGACTTTTCAGTTTTAGCTGACCAAAATTCAAGTCAGTGGGTTCATCAGAATGCAGAAAGCTCCCACTGGAAGGCACCTGGTTGGAGATGTCCCCGCTGAGGCTTTTTTCCCCCTAGGATAATACAGATGACCCTTATGCTGTCTCTTCCCATTCACATTGTCTCTGTAGGGTAAACTGCTGTACTGTCATCCTCCCCCCGGAAGAGATCCCGTGACCTTTCAGTATCAACACCAACGACTCCTAGAGAGCAAAGTGAAGGGTGGTGAACTAAAAATACAACCAGGTGGAAATAAAAATGTAAAACAGATTGAAAATGTAGTTGACAAAACTTTTTTTCATCAGGTAAGTTTTCAAGTTTCTTTTTAACTTTTGTTCCAAGACATTTCATACAACAGTTTTATTGAGCTACCATTCACATACCCTAAAATACACCCTTTTAAAAGTACAATTCAATGTAGTGTATTCAGAGTTGTGTAACCATTACCACTAATTTTAGATCATTTAATCGCTCCAGAAAGACACACTGTTCCTATCAGCAGTTGCTCCCCATCCTACTCTTCCCCCAGACATTGCCAACCACTAATCTGATTTATATATAGATTTGCCTCATCTGGGCATCTCATATACATGGAATCATACATAGATTATGTGGCCTTTTGTGACTGGCTCCTTTAACTTAGCACACTGTCATCGAGATTCATGTGTGGTATCATCGCATTATTCCTTTTATTACTGTATATTTCAGTATATACTACATTTTATTTTTCCACTGGTTGTGCTTTATGGCTATCAATCATTGGTTAAGAACATGTGCTGATTTTTCTGTGGCCGTATATTTTCAGTTCTCTTGGGAATATACTTGGGAGTGGAGTATAGTTGCTGGGTCAGATGGTAACTCCACGTTTAATTTTTGAGATACTTCCAGACTTTTCAGTGTCTACCGTTTTACATCCCCAGCAGCAATGCATGAAGGCTCTAATTTTTCCAGATCCTTGCCAGTATTTTTTTGTTTTATTAAAATTTTAGCCATCCTATTATAAAAAAATTTTTTAGCCATCCTAACATGTGGATGTGGTAGCTCATAATTGTTTTCCAACTTTAATAACACGTAACTGACGTGTCACTTTCTAAGTTTTCAGCTGCTGGTTTGATTTCCATATTGTGAAATGATCATCATGTTAGATTTAGGTGACAGCCATCATCCTTTATAGACAGAATATGTAGAAAAGAGAAACATTTCTCCTTGTAATGAAGCCTCATAGGATTTCCTCCCTTGACAGCTTTCCTAAATGTCCTGTGGCAGCTTAAGCTATAGTCACACTGTAAGTTATATCCCTAGCACATAACAGTCACTGAGGGCAAGAGTAGGGCAGTGTGCTTTTACAATCATATTCTTTATAATGCATCAGGTCAGTTTCAGCCTCTCATTTCGTTAATATATTTTGATTCAGGCCAAGTGGATATTATCCCCATTTTATCATTGAGGACATTGAGGCTCAAGGAAGCTGAGTCACTTAATCCAAGGGCATTTGTTTAAGACGGCAAAGCAAGGATAGAAATTAGATTGTTGTGGCTCCTCATTTGAATTTTTCTGAGTCTGCACCAATATTTAAAATCAAATTTACCGGTATGCAGAAAGAACATAAGGTTTTTTTGTAGACTTACTGCTATCCTGCAGGACACAGGTTTACAATAGCTCTTTTGAGCACTTTCTGTGTACCAGGTGCAATGCAAGGAACATCAGAATGAATGAGACACAATTCTTGATTGCAGCAGGAGTCCCATTCTCGCAAAAGGTAGATGGGCAAGCTAAAAAATGACATACTTGACCTAGAACAGACAGAAATACAGACATGATTCAAGAGGTCTGGTAGAAATGTGGACATTGGATTAGTACAGTCAGTCTTTCAGTGGTCCAGTGGAAGGTTCTGGACACCTGGGTTTGAACAGTGAGGGTGGAGAGGAGAGAAGGGAATAGGTGAGCAAAAGTCTAGAGACTAAAATCAACAGACTAAAAACAGTGACTGATTATATGTGGCAGATGAAGAAGCCAAAGAAAGAGTGCGCGCTATCTTGGCAGCTGCGCAGATTCTTATCCCACTAACCAAAATAAAAAGTGAAAAGTCAGTTTTTTAACTAATTTTGGATTGAGACAAATTGAGTTTTGATGTCAAGATAGAGATTTCCAGAAATAGCTGCTATTATGAGTTTAGTTATAAATGGCATTTGAAGTTTGAGATTAAACAGAGTTAAAGGGGAAGAAAGAGTCAGAGAAAGAGAATGCTGAGAATTGTATAGTTTCAGGAGAAGAGAAAGGACCAGTGAAAGAGATGGGAACCCATCATGTGATTTTATTTATCTTAATGTTCTTAAACAATACTGTGAAGAACCTCTAAAGGAGGCTGCCGAGATTTCAAATGTTTTATTTCCTAGGAAAATGTGAGAGCTTTGACCAAAGGAGTCCAGGCTGTGATGGGCTACAAGCCTGGCAGTGGCCCGGTGCCAGCACCTACTGTAGACTCTGAGAGCCGGACTGGGAAGCCATGGAAAAAACACGGCAACAGGAATAAAAAAGAAAAGAGCCGCAGACTCTACAAGCACCTGGATACATGAACTTAGGTTGTGCAGAAACAGCACCTGCATTGTACGTCTGGAGAAGAAAAGAAGCTGCTCATTGCCTGTGGTGCTGTAGGTGGGCGCTGCTCTCGTGCCTCACAGCCAGCCACCAGTGTCAAGACAGAGGCGCCCCTTAAAGCACCAAAAGCCTGGCCAGCATGGGCACTTCAGAGCCCCTGAGACCTAGAGAAGAATGAAAAATGCCTCCTCGTGTGTGAACATACACAGATGCTTACTAACTTGTAAGTTGGGGATTCTTTGAAAACATTAAAATCAAATTGCCACTAAGAGATGTTTTATTGGTTTGTGTAGATGCCTGCCATTTGGATAGTCCATGTTCTTGAAACAGTTTTGATTTGCTAAGAGATGGCTAGGATTCCAGATGGATTCTTTTGAATACATTATTTAGGCCAGTGATTCTCGATTCACACGTACACCCGCCACAGCACAATATGGCAGAAGGCTTTTGCGTGACCTTTGAAAATCACCTCAGTGTGAGCCATTGCCACAGGGTGAAGCTGTTTTTCTGTAGCTCACTCATTTGTGGAGACCCAGAGAGTGAGAAAAGAGGCGGTCAGTCAGCTAGTTTTTCTTTTAGGCATTGGGGTCCCTGATGTCTTCAGTATTTAACAACTGGCAAGGCTGAGAGTAGGGCAGTTTACCTTTGACAAACAGTCTTTTTAATATGATTGCTCCAGCCTCTCAGTTTATTTTTGTCTCCCTTTTTCTCTGAGCCTCATTATCCCCTTAACTGATCCTTGTTTCGGTTTGTGTCATAGCTATTTTTAGGAATCTAATAAAAGTTATAGACCCTTCCTCCAGAAAAATGCCACATACAGTTTGGCCAAGTTTATTAGAAGATTGACAGACCTCTCCGACCCATATTCATCCATGATACCAGTTCAGAAGCCTTGCTTTAACCATAAAATATTTTTGAAAATGTGTTGTATTGGAGAATTTTTTCCTTATACTTAAATTGATGTTTATTCACTAAACATTTATCAGCTACCTACTGAGTGGCAGGAAGGTCAGTCTAGAACATGACGAGAGCCTGAGTAGGGCCCTAAAGCAGGAGGAGGCAGAATGGAAGTCAGCAAGAGCCACATCCCACAGCACGTGGGAGACTGGAGGAATCCTGGCTGGCTTCTCAAAAGCTACAGGTAAACCAAGGAAGGTGAGGCACCAGATGTTGTTCTGCTTCCTTGAAATATCAGGTCAAAGGTTATTCAGTTCAAAGCTGAAGCTATTTTCAGATTGTGATCATTCATCTATAATGTCCTGCTTTCAGTCATTCCCTTTTATCTGAAGTGAGAAGTGAGGCAGTCTAAAAATCTTGTGAGACAAAAGAAACTGTTATTGTATGGGAACACACACTTTGGTCCATTCACTGCAGAACACTGGCGTCTGGCAGAAATTTTCCTAGTGGATAAACAAAGCACGCACTTTACATTGAGTTTTCTCTCGTGACAAAACATGACACTTTTTTAGACATTAAATATGCTTACATGCTTTCGATTTTTTTGTGACAATTCTGAGAAAATTTATATACCATGCAACTTGACATTACAAAGTGCATAGTTTGGTGATTCTGTGCATTCGAAGTTGTACAACAATCACCACAATTAGATTTATTTTATCACTCCAAGAAGAAATCCAGTACCTTTAACCATCAACTTTTCAACCCTCACAGCCATAAGCGATAACTATATATAGATGGAGTTGCATGTTATATGTAAGTGGCATCTATTACACTATTACAACCTTTTGTAACTGATTTTCACTTAGCCTAATGTCTGCAAGGTTAGTATGTTAACAGCATTTATCAGGACTTCATTACTTTTCATTGTCAGTAACGCCATTGAATGGATACACCACAAATTGTTTATTCATTAATGAGACATTTATTTGGGTTTTTGTTTGGGGGCTATTATGAGTAATGCCGCTATGACTAAGCTTGCATATGAGTATTTGTATAGACCTGGGTTTTCAGTTCTGGGTGTATACCTCGGGGTGGATTGCTATGCATTTAACCTTTGGAAGAACTGCTAGATGGTTTTTCAAAATGGCTACACCATTTTATATTTCCTACCAGTAGTGTATAGGGTTTTCATTTTTCCACATCCTTGTCCTTGTTACTGTCTTGGTTCAGCCATCCTAGCAGGTGTGAAGCAGTCACTCTGGTTTTGATTGGCATCCCCCCTGAGGACAAATGATGTTCAGCATCTTCACAGATCCTCAGTAGAGTGAGCTCCTTTTGCCCTCAGCTAAAACATCTTAGCTCACCCTTCATTGCTTTTCTCCCATATCTCTTTTCCACAACCTCACTTCTGCATGGAAATTGCTTCCCAAATCATCTAACTGAACCCGAGTCTTGTTAGAGTCTGAGGAATCCAAACCAGGACACCTTTGTTCCTGCCTGGGCTGTGTGTTACACATACCTCAGAATTTTTTTGTATTTCTCCCCTGGCAAAGGTTAGTACTTTGGGGGCCCTCCTGGTGACACAACAGGTAAGGACAAAGCACTGCAAGCTAGCTGCTGTTGCCTCATTGCGGGTTTTATCCCTGGCCCCAGAGGTGACCCAAATGGTGCAGCAGACCTCTCCTGACCAGCCCGCTGCTCCCCTCAGCAGTGCACTTCCTCAGCTGCCTATTCTGCTCCCCACTCTGTCTCTGGTGAATCTTCTCGCCACCCCTGCACCTCTGGCCTGTACCCCAGTTCTGTATGCATAAATAAATA